AGTGTGCATAAGCACACACACACACTTCCTAGACTTGCTTACCTTCTGATTTCACAGTGACACACAGGTCTACTTCTGTTGGAAGACTCCTTAGGCGACACTGAACTGCTGACATTATCTTCTCTACCAAGTTGGCTCCTCTGAATCCCCTGGCACCCCTGCCAGAAAGCCTGGAGTATCATCCACCAGGTCTTCCTCCCTGGGGTGGGACTTGGTCCCCCTGTCTGTCCCTACAGCCCTCACTTTCAGTGCAGAACATCAGCTCTAATTTGACCTGTGTCAACAGTCTTCTTCTTCTTTTTTAAAAATTAAAGTATCATTGATATACAATCTTATGTTGGCTTCAAATGTACAACACAGTGGTTCAGCAGTTACCCATGTTATTAAATCCTCACCCCCTCTAGTGTGGTTACTATCTATCAACGTAGTAAGATGTTATAGAATCATTGACTATATTCTCCATGCTGTACTGTCCTGTTTGTACTCCTACTGTCTCTGTGACCAAGTTATGTTGTGATTGCGAATTATTGTGCCTCTTTATCCCCTTCAACCTCCCCCCACTCACTGCCCCAACTCCTACCCCTTGGTAACCACTAGTCCCTTCTCTGTATCTATGAATCTGCTGCTATTTTGTTCCTTCTGTTTGCTTTGTTTTTATACTCCACAAATAGCTGAAATCATATAGTATTTGTCTTTCTCTGCCTGGTCAACAGCCTTATTCTTAATTGAGGTCTTCTCTCTTGCACCTTCCCCAATTCCTTTCCCAGGACTCCAGGATGATTTTTTTTTCAACAGAAAGATCAAATTTTGATTTTCTCTTGCTTAAAGTCCTTTGGTGAGTCTCTAGGATTTAGGGAGAACCAGAAGCCACAGTTATTTGTAGAAACCATGAAGTATTGATATATTAAACTCAACATTGTAAAAACCCAAACAAAACACAACTATGATACTGTGCTCTTATGTGTTAAAGAAAAACGTATGGAAGAAAGAACACATTAAAACAAAGAAAATTATATAAATTATATTCATTGTAAATAATCTGCCTTTTTACAAATTAGAAAAAGATTGCTATGGTTTTAATTCAATGTCAGAACCTCTCAGCTTGGCATGAGGGATTCCTGGGTTCCCCCAGGGGCACAGTTTGAGAACCACTGATTGAGGGATTCAGGTCCAGTGGTCCTGGCCTTGCATTGATGACCCTTTGTACTCTGACCTCCATACCATCTTTACCTTTTGCTGTTAGACTGTGTACATCCTATGATCCAGTCACACCTGACACCCACCTTTTGTAGCAGTTCCATCTCATGCCTTTATTCAGGTTGCTCCTTCGGCCTGAAATGCTCTTCCTTGCCTTGCCTACCTGGGAAAAACTCTAGGTTCAGATATCATTTCTTTGATGTTGTTTCCTAAACTCCTAGTGAGTCGACCCCTGCTACCTTAGTGTTTTCTCTCGACTGGTGTTATGGCCTTTAGGACACAGCCTCTTATTTATTTATGTGCCCACTTCCCCCTCCAGGCAGGAGTGGGCCATGTTTGGTGCATCTCCATGACACCACTACCCAATATGAGGCCTGGCACAAGGAAGGTGTCATAAATATTCCATGAGTTGAAAGTAACTGAATTCCTCATGGCCTGGCCCTGTCTGTGGTGCTGTCTCCTTTTTCCATAGATTTGGGACAGCCACTCCAGGCCAGGATTTTCCGTCTCTCTTCCCTCTTCCCTTGAGGATTATGAAGTTTGTGGTCTTCTTCAAGTGAAAGAGAATGTTCTCTTTTCATCTGCCCACCTGTTGCTTGCACTTTCTTTTTCCCTCTATCACCATCTTTGCCTTGTGGTCTTCCCCTGCACGAAGAGCAGAGGGATGTGGAATAAGTCAGGTCTAGGTTTGAGTCCTGGGACCACCATTTACCATCTGTGTGACTTTGGGCAAGTGCCTTATGCTCTCTGAGTCTCGGTTTCCACATCCAAAAAATGGGACAAATGGTAAACTCCTGCCATGAAGCTTCCACAAGAATTCCCTGTAAACACTATCACCCTTGGCTTGTTCTTTTGTTTACCGGATTTCTCTCCTTGAATTTCCTTTGTCTAGGTGGTCCTTTTTTGTCTCTTCCCTGCTCCAACATCTCTCTATTTCTTCCCCTGTGCTTTTTTGTCTGTTCAATTCTCTGCTTCTGCTTTTTGCCTCCTGGTTCTCTTTGGCCACTTCACTGGCTCAGCCTAAAGCTCACCCATGCTCACAAGAGAGAAGACTAAGAACTCGGGAACCCTCTGCCTTGCCTCCTCTAGTCCACAGGCAACCTCAGTTGTGCCACCCTCATTAAGGAGCCAGTGGTAGTGGAGGCAGTGCACAGGGAGGGCCTTGATATACTTGGAACCACTAGGCTTTGTCCAATATCACTGCCCCCTAGTTACACCCATCTGCCTATAGGTCCCTCTGCTTTCAGAGTCCGTTTTCCACTCAGCTGACTGGGGGACTTAAAAAAAAAAAAAAGAGATAGAACTTTTTACTCTTTTGCTTAATGCTCCCACTTAATGGCTTCTCCTTGCTCTTGGGGTTTAACCCAAAGCCCATAGCTGTCTGCATGACCTGTAGGCCCTCCTGACCTCTCCAGCTGCACCTTGTTTCCCCTTTCTCCCCACTCACTCGATTCCAGCCACCCTGATCTTGCTGTTCTTCAAACCCACCAGCTCCTGCTTTTGCACAGGCTGTCCCCTCTGGCTGCAGTGTCCCTCACCACTGATTTGCTGGCTCATTTTCCTACTTTCGCTCTCAGCTCAACGATCACGTCACTTCCTCAGGGAATCACTCTCAGATCAGTTTAACTGAAGCAGACCTCTCTCCCCAGTTATTTATCACAACACCCATCCATTTCCTTTAGAGTGCACATCTCAGATTGTAATCACACATTTCTTTACTTACATGTTTACTGTTGATCTCTTCCCCTAGAATGTGAGCTTCATGAAGGCAAGAGCCACTTCTATGTTCATTCATTTATCCATTCAGTATTTACTGAGCAGTAACTATGTACCAGACACCAAGCACTGGGATACAAGACAAAGTCCTTGCTCTCAGCGAGTTCATGCTCTAGAGGTTGAGAGAGAAATAATGACTATATCATATAGTAGGTTCTGTGTTTAAAACTGCAATAAACCTTTTCCCTCATGGTCTGCCTCTCCTCCCCCATTTCCCTGGTATATCACTGTCTTGTATACCAGAGAATTTGCTTGTTTTGTTTGTTTACTGCTCTTGTTTTCCTGCTGGAATATAAGCTCCATGAGGGTAGGGATTTTGTCTCTTTTATATCTTCACTTTGACTTAGGGTAATTGTTAAATAAATAAGCCAGTATCTGGTATTTGTTGATTTATTCCAGATGGGAAGCAGGTCTCAGCCTCTCTTCAAGGCAAACCCCAGATAGCCTTTATTCAAATCCTGGTGCTGCTGCATATGAATGCTTAACCTTGGAAAAGTCCCCCTTTCTCTCTGTACCTCAGTTTCCTCAACTGTAATGGGAATAACAGTGGTAAGGATTAAACAAATTCATGCAAGAAAAGTACATAGAAGGTGTTCAGTTTTACATACTAATGGACAACTAATTTGTGGTCTTTATACAAGGGCTTTAACTGGGTAGAGGCCCAAGTATATTCAACCTGTATAGCCAGAGGGTAGACTAAGACCAATGAGAGTTAGTGAGGGAGGCAGACTTCACAGAATGAAAAGAAAGCACTTTCTAAAAGCCAATGCTGCAAGGAGAAATAGATGAATCCACTATTATAGTTGGAGGCTTCAATATCCCTCTCTCAGAAATTGACATATCCAGCAGGCAGAAAATTGGTAAAAACTCAACAACACCATCAATTAACTGGATGTAATGGACATCTATAGATTACTTCATCCAACAGTAACAGAACACACATTCTTCTCAAGCTACATGGAATAGTCAACAAGATAGAACACATTCTGGGCCATAAGACACCTTAACAAATTTAAAAGACTAGAACTCATTATGTCTGCTCTCAGACCAAAATGCAATTAAACTAGAAATCAGTAGCAGAAAGATAGCTGGAAAATCCCCCAATTCTTGGAGATTAAATAACACATGGGTCAAAAGAGAAATCTTGAGAGAAATTTAAATGTATTTGCAAGTAAATGAAAATTAAAACACTTAAAAAGTTTGTGGGATGCAGTGAAAGCTGTGATTTGAGGGAAATTTATAGCACTGAGTTCATATATTACAAAAGAAGAAAGATCTAAAATCAATAATCTAAGCTGCTACCTAAGGTAACTAGAAAAAGAAGAGCAAATTAATTGAAAGGAAGCAGAAGAAAAGAAATAATAAAAATTAGAGAAGAAATAGGTGGAATTCAAAGCAGGAAAGCAACAGAGAAAAATCAACTAAACCAAAAGCCGGGTGTTTGCAAAGATCACTAAATCGATAAGCCTCTAGCCAGGCTAAGAAAGGAACAGAGAGGACATAAATTACTATCAGAAATGAAAGAGGGGACATCACTACAGGTCCCATGGATATTAAAAGAATAATAAAAGAATACAATGAACAAACCTAAAATCCAGCATTTCCAAAGACCCAATCACCTGCTTTTAGTAGGTAGTAAGCGTCTTGTCCTTAGAGGTATGTATGAATGTGCATTTCAAGGGGCCTAGATGGAGGAGATTCAATCATCAGAGGGGACGGAGAGGCCATGTGTTTTTGGGTCTCTGATCCTGAGAGAGTTGTACCAGAGCTAGGCGTTGGCAGTGAGAGTGCTCGTTTGAGCAGTGAGCAGTGCTGCCAGTTGGGTGCAGAAGCGGGTGGGCGCCGAAACCCAGGCCGGGATCTCCAGGACGGTGTGCGAGAGTGGGGGAAGGGCACGCCGGGGCAGGGGAAGACAGGACTGGGCAACAGCGCGCGCCGCCACCAGCAGAGGACGCCATGAGACCGCGGAACGCACGGCCGGGCTTGACGTCAGCGCCCCGCTTGCTTGGGCTCCCGCTCAGGACTCGGCGCCAGTCCCGCTCCGCGCCGCGCCGCTACGCTCCGGCTCTGGCTCGGCTCTGGCTCGGCTCTGGCTCCGGCTCCGGCGGCGGCGCCCCCAGCGCGGGGCCCCGGTGCAGGCGGCGGCGCACCATGGCCCGCGCCCAGGCTCTTGTCCTGGCGCTCACCTTCCAGCTCTGCGCGCCCGAGACCGAGATTCCGGCAGGTAAGCGCGCGTCGGTGGGACCAAGCTTGCCCCGCGGAGCCCCTGGGGCTAGTGGCGTAGCATGGAAGAAAGTGTGAGTGTTGGGTGATCCGGCGTTAGGAGCTTACTCCCTGTATGAGTCTGAGTGTTGGATTGTGTGCGCAAATGTTGTGTATCTGCGAATGTTGTATGTCCGTGAGTTTTGTGTGCAAGGAAAGGTGCTGTGTGTCTGCGAGTATGCTGGGGTGAATATAGTGTGCATCGAGGTATAGGGTGTGCACTGAGTGTCTTATGTGCCTGCCGGTGCGTAGTGTTTGTGCGGTCAAGTACGTTGTGTGTCTGTTATGTGTGCATATGAGTTTGGTTGTGTGGTCGGAGTTGTGTCTGTTCGCATTTTATATGCTGTGGCAAGGAGTGCTGTTGTGTGCCTGAGAATCTGTTATGTGTTTGTGTTATGCGTGTGCCCGAGAGTGCTCTGTGGATTCTGTCCTCGTGTGATCAGGGAACGCGTGTGCGGTGTGTGTGCTTGTGAGATTCGTGCATTTGTGTGAAGGCGTGGGAACACCTCCGGAATCTGTGTGTCCGTGCGCTGTGTGGCGATGTGTACGTGTGGGAGTGTCTAGGGTTGGTGTGCGCCGCCGGGGCTTGCGTGGGTCCGCGTGAATGCCAAGTGTGCCGGGAATGGGTGTGTAGGACTGTGTCTGGAGCGGATGTGAGTGTGTCCATGCGTGCTGGCTGCGTGTCCAGGAATGTTGAGAGTGTGGTGCGCGCCTGGGCGGTGGCTGTGTGTGCCCGGGGCCCGGGGCCGCCCGAGGGGGCGGTGGCAGGATGTGTGTGTGTCCCGCTTGTGTGCGTGTGTGGCGCGCGGGCCCGGAACAAGTTGTCGCCGCGGCGCCCCCCTCCCATCCCGGGTAGGGCCAGGCCTGAGGCTCGGAAGGGAGGAATGGGGGCGCCGCGGCCGCCGACTCCGACATGTCGACATGTCGGGCTGTCTGTTGTTTCGCAAGTTCCGCGCGGCGCTGGCAGGCGGCTGATGCGAGGCGGCGCCGGGGCCGCGGGGCGTTCGGGCGGGTGACGGGGAGGGCTGGGCCGGGGGCGCTCCTGCGGGGCCTCGCCGCGGCTGCACCCGGGGCGGCGGGGCGCAGGCTGTGCCCGGGAGGGGCTGCGACGTCTGGGCGCGGGCAGGGCCTGGCTGCCGGCGGCGGGACGGCGCCCCCTCCCGTTGCATTCAGGAGGCGCCGCGGACGCTGGGTCTCCCGGGACACTCCCTCAGTCCACTCCGCAACTTTGTGCTGCCTCCCGGCGGACCAGGACCGCCGGGCGTGTGTGAGTGTGTAGTGTGTGAACGTGTGCCACCGTGCCTCGGTCTGCTGCGTGATCGCGCTGTCTCTCAGTGTGTTTCGGAGACCGGTGTCTCTTGGTGTGTGTTGTGTATGTGTGTGTAGCTGTACATGTGATTGCGTATATGAATGTGTGTATCTGGAGCTTTTGTCTGTGTGTTGTGGACTGTGTGTTAGCTGTGTGTTTATGTGTGCGTGTCTGAACTCCTCCCACACCCCAAACCCCTGAATCCCACCCTGAGGCCTGAGATCTCAGACTGTGGCCCCCTCCAGTGGAGCTGTGCCCAGCCCCTCACCTGGGGCAGAGTGGCCAGAAGAACCCCTCTCCACAGCCTTGGCCCCTCCATCCCCACTGTTTGCGACTCCACCTCGGTACCCGGGGTGCTCAGTACAAAGACGCCCCAGCAGGGATCCAAGCTGAGACCCGTGCCAGAGCTGCCTCTAATGGGGAGAGACTTGCTGGCCGACCCTGGGGCCTCTGGCCAGAGCTCCTAGGCTCCTGCCATCGCTCTTGCCACTGGCTCGGAGAGCTGGGCCAGGCTCTGGGGTCCAGCCATCAGGCACAGCCTTAGCTTGACCTCTTGGTGCCGGAAAGGACACCAAGGCGACCTGCCTCCCTGTCTTCCCCTCGTGCCTCCCTGTCCTGCAACAACTTTGCCAATATCTCCCACCGTGAGATCAAACCTGAAGAATATGCTAAGCTCCCCCACCCCTACTGCCTTTACCTTGATTTCAAGAACCCTTACCTGCTCAAACTCCTGCTAACAGGGGGTATTATCAAGAAGTGAGAATTGGGAGTGACACCTTGAGTAGGTTACTTCCATTCCTGGGGCCTCAAGTTTCCTCATCTGCCTCATGGGTATTATAATAATGGTGTATGGTACTTAGTAGATTGTAAAACAAGGCTCCATCTGTGAGTGCCAAGGAACAAAAGATGGTTTGGAGGACTGTTACAGAGCCCCAGAGGCTGTGATTTGAAGCCAGGTAACATGGGCTCAAATTCTGCCTCTGCCACTGGCTAGCCTTGTGACTTTGGGCAAGTCACTTCACTTCTAAAGTTCCTGGCACCCTTGTAGTTATTACTGTTAGGGCTTAATTCAGAAGTCCTAAGGAGGTGCAAAACTCCCCTTGCCCCTAAACCAGGTAGAGTCAACCCAGCTCTCTGAATGTCTCTTGAGTCCCCTGCCCCAGCAAGGGTGTTGTGTGCTGTCTCTCAGCCATGCAAATCTGGCAGTAATTTATTCCTCTGTGTTCTAGCTCATTTTGTCCTTTTGGTTGCTGGAATTGTGGACAGCAGGAATGAGGGAGAGGCTGCCCAGTAGTTTCAGGTTGGGCAATAAAGGCTTGTCTGGGCAGCTGGCCCTACTCTGTGAGGCTCAGGGAGGGGACATGGCAGGAACTACTGAGTGGCCAGAGCAGGGGTGCTCAGCTTCCAGGCAGCCCCCTGCCCAGCTCAGGTGTCAGGAAAAATCCAGGGTGAGCACCCAGCTTGCTGGAGGCATGCCATCATCCTTCCATGCTTCCATCAGCTAAGCTAGACTTGTAGGGCAGCCTTTTCCTGTGGGGCTGGGTTAGCTAGAGTTTCAGGGGTGCCTTGTGTCCCCCTTCCTTCCTCAGCCCCCCTTCTTCCTTCATGCCACTCTCCCTGCACCCTGATGCATCCTACCCTTATGCCCTATCAAGATCTCTCTCATATATTTCCTTTTCTCTATCCTCAGCCATCTCTCACCTGCAAGAAGGCTCCTGTCTCTTCCTTCCATGGTGCAAGGAATCTTCCAAAACAAAAATGTGTGTCTGAAACCTTGGTATAAAACCTTTTGAAGGCTCCCCTTTGCTTTCTAGGTTAAATTCCTCCCCCTCAGCCCCATTTCCTGCTCTAGCCCCTGCCTGCCTGTCCAGCTCCATCTTGTTTCATGCCCCTTGCCTCTTCCCTCATATGCTCTGGCCAGTCTGACTTACTTACCAATAGCCCTTAAATGCCCATTGCCTGCCATCTCTTCTCTGGGGCTTTGCACAAGCTGTCCAGAACTCTAACTCCACCTCTTTACCTGGTGAACTCCTGCTCCTCCTTCAGGGCTCAGCTTAAACATCACCTCCTCCCTGAAGCTTTCATTGGTTACTCCCTGATCTGGGCCCAGGCAGGGAGGGTGGGAGTTGATTGTATTTTTTCATAGCATTGTAATTATTATAATTACAGTTTAGTAGTCTTTTCTCCCTTACAGACCATGAACTCTGTGAGGACAGGGACTGGGTATTCAGTTCATTTTTGAATCGTTAGTGCTAGGTAAAAGGCCTGGCCCACTGGTGCTGAGTAAAATACATGTGTCATGAAAGAATCAGTGACTTCTAATGGGTCACGTTTTGAGCTGGACATGCCAGATGGGGGCGCACTGACTCCATTGTAAATAGAGATTAAAGAAACAGGTTTTCCCTCCAGAAATCTGGAAAATTCTGTTGGGGGATGGTGTGTGTGAAAAGGCCAAGTAGAGAGTGTCATCTGGGAGCTGTGAGTTGGGGAGGTCAGATCCCTGGCAGACCGAAGGGAGCAAGTCCCTGTCTGCCAGCCCCTCCCCCCAGCTCCCAGCACTGTGTCCCCCTGCCTCCTGCCCCCCTCCCCACCAGCAGCTGCAGCCTTTGTGCTGGAGGCCTCTGGCAGGTGGTGAGAGGCATCAAGTCCCAACTGTCAGTCTGGGCCTCTGGGGAGGAGGGCCAGCCTGCATTGGGAGGGGGAGTCTCTCTGAGTCCTCTGTCCCAGGTCTTGGAGTTGGTAGGTGGGGTCACAAACTCTATCCTGGCTGCTTGTGAGCCTGAGGGAAAGGAGGAGAGCTGCTCCCTGTGACCCCTGCAGGTTGGGGGTGGGGTGGGGAGGCTGGCTGAGGGGTGTGTGTGTATGAGAGACTGTGGCTGTGTGATTATAGCCCAGGGTGCAGGACATACGTGTGACTTGTTAGAGTGTCTAGCCATCTGGTTACCCTGTGTGGTGGGATCTGAGTTTGGGGTAGGGAGGTGACCAGCTACTTGGATCCCTGGGGAGCCTGATGCTATGGTGTTTGGGTATCCAGATGTCAAATTGCTGGTGTTTGGGTGGGCAGTGTCTCAGTATCTAGGTGTGGGTGCCCCAGTACCAGGGTGGGAGGGTCAAGGTGTGCTAACATGAGGCTATCCTGCTGGAGTTCCAGTGTCTCTGGATCTGGAGGTGGGGGTATGCAGTGGTCTGGGAGTCCTCAGGGTAATGGGTGTTCAAGTGCAGTAGTGTCTCTGTGTGGTATCCAGATGTGGGGCTGTCCACATGAATGCGTGTCTGGGTGTGGGGTGCCCTGTGGTCGGTGTGTCTGTTTGTATGTTTAGGTGTACTGTGTTGGGTGGTGGGTGTTCTGGTGATGTGCCCAGCTGTGGGCCAGGGGCTGGGACTGGGGTGTGCTAGCTCAGTTTCTGACACCCTATTTTCTGGAGCTTGCCTCCTGATCTCCCTTCAGACCCCAAAGCCAGGAGCCTCTGGAGAAGGCCCCAGTGGTCCTGCTTCTCCATGTTCAGTCAGTCTAGAGATGGCTTTCAACAGAACTTTCTGCAATGATGGAAACGTTTTCTGCCTGCTCTCTCCAATATGTTGACCGCCCCGTCACGGGTGCCCATTACATATAAGTAAGTTAAAATTTATTAAAATGAAAGTTCAGTCCCTCA